TTAACTAAGTATATTCACTGCACAGATAAAGTCAGAAAGCAACGAAATACGCAACCAATACGCAAGCAAGAGGTCTTACGGTTGAGTCGAAATGAAAAATTTTATATTATAATCTTAAAGATTGTTTGATAGATAATAAATTTAATGAAAGCTGAACGTCTCATTTTATTTTATAAAAGATAATCAGCCGCAAGCGATTTGTTGCCATACTGAATGCTTGTGATGCACCAACAAGTTTACTATGAACTAGAACAAATAATTAAAAATTGTCTGATGTTGGTATTCCATCTCACTATTTGATTGTTAATGTAAGGGATGGTTGGTGTGTTTTTAATTTTTAAACAATCTGCTAATCTTTGACATTGATATGCTCATTAGTATGCACTTTTGTAAAGACGCCATTACGACAAATCCCTTTGTTAAAGATCCGTACGACACCAATTTTCAACATCCTTCTTGCAAGTGGCCCACTAGAATCTCTACTTTTTTTTACCAAGTGACTTGTTAATTTTAAGGTGTCCTTTTGGTTAATCGTGCACTTTTTGTAGAACTTGAGCTATACTTTTTTCGAAACGACTAATTGTAAGGTCATGCTCTTCAAGTATGGTGAAATCCATTCTTAATATAAAACTCTATCGTTGTTATTATTTCTATTCACTATTGGAACTATTTAGATGTCATACCAGTATCGTAAGTGATCAGAATTAAACGTTAAATGTAGTATATAGGGATATCATTTTTTCAACAAGAATTACTAANTCTGCTAAAAGTTTATTCCAATTGGTTGGTAGATCCATGGTAATTTTTTGAACATCATCAAAAGATCACTAAACTGCTAAAAGGTCTTCTCATGCATCTAACAGTGTTTACGTTACCCAGGCGTAGCCACTCATACGTTCCACAACCGTCTAACTGTGTACCCTACAATATATAAAATATCACGTTTTCATACGTATAAATAGAATTATCATTTTTCCAAAATTTCAACATTGCTGTAAGTGTAGGTTATGTACGTAGTGCGTTAGATCAAACAATTTACCTTACCTGTGTCATGGTGTGTCTTATAAAAAATTAAATCTATACACTGAAACAAATTTGGTCAGTCAGAGTTACCACAAACAGGAGCAAGTCTACTCCAACGAATGTATGGATTGCACTTAGCATCAATTGTGGCTAGCTGCAAAGGTCGCAGATACGGTGTAAGAATTTAAAACCACCGTGGTTCAGTATCTCTCCCACAAATAGTTGGTTGCATCAGCCTTAAAAACGTGCACAGTGTATCAATTCTTACAGTTAACAATACACACCACTATTTACTCATTGTATGTACCGTCACAAATTGTACATTGAACCTATACTATATGTGCGTAATATGTATATGTCCATTGACATAACAAAAACTATATGTGCCATGTACAACAGTTTTTGAATAAACTATCTTTTCAGAAAATTTGTTTGTGTTAAGTTATCTGGTGAATTTATTTAACGGGCTTTGAATTTTTAAAACTCTAAAATTGCATGAAAATGTGCATATAACTTTACTATGTATCATGTTAAGTTCAAAATGTTAATATTCTTATCCAAAAAAAAAAGTATCCACAACTTCACTTTTATGTGATAAGTCAGATTGATTTTAAGTTTGGTAAGACGTCTTTGTAAGAACTTGAGAAAACAATATTATCTTATGTATCAAACAGTATTTACTTAGTTACTTAGTTATACGTTCAATTCGTGACGATATGTTTTGTGTGTACTAAGTTGAATACAATACTTTCATGGTAAGTAAACGTATTTATCTTTAGTACATGGTGTTGTCTTGAAGAAAAATTAGTTTTAATAAATCAACATTCCAGTGCAATAAATTGAAGTTATATTTATTAATCTATTGTTTTAACTAGTATTATTTTTGGTACAGTATATTGTACAAAAACTAAAATTTACATTCTTCACCAAAAAGTGTGTCATAAGCCTTGACTGTATGTGGTTTGTCTGACAAAGGCCTAAAAACACATAACATTTTAAACATGTGTTTACATATTTTATTTGAAGTAAAGAATTCAAAATTAATAATAAGTTTTCATCATATCTGTTTTTTTAAATCTGCTCGTAAAAACTGCAAAAAAGAAAAGTTATATATTCTTATTAAGCAATAAACTACCAAAGTTCAGGAAGTAAATAACAATTAGGAGGAAAAATAAGTTCTGGCAATAAAACACCAGTAATTCAAATTTTAAGTTTGACTTATTTTCAAGCTTTCTTAGTAAACCTTTATTTTCTAAATGTGTGACCATAGAGAGCGATTTTATAACTTTATACCAGCTTTTTTCTCAATAAACACATAAAAAAAAGTTTGTCCACGGTTAATAAATATCTGGTCATTTTATACTCCTAAAATTATAACACCTTTTAGTAGAAAAATTTAAAGGTTTTTTAATTTGTTTACTTAGGACGTAATGTGTAACTTTACGTCCTAAGCATATAAATTTTGTACTTTAACTTTTTTTCTAAGAATTTCTAAAAAAGTAACAGCTTAGATTAACAGGATATCCACTATAGTAATGTTGGCAAAAGGATTTTTAAAAACTATGGGTATTAAACATTACCATATGTATTTGCACCAAACACGCTTTATACCGTAAGTTTTGCTTAATTTTATGTAAAATAATAGCACAAAGATCAGAAAACTACACAGAGGTGATCGAGGTTCAAGATATTATAGCTGATATATGAGTACGAAAGAAAGATAGAGCGTGATAATGTGTCTCTCCTGCACTCACGTATCATCGACAATATCACAAAACTTGATCAATGGCTGAAGGAAATAAATAAATTGTCAACTTTCGTGACTCATTACATATCACGATCAGACATGATCTGTCATTAAAAAAAAATAAATGTATGGCATTACTATTTGAAATCGTATCGAAATAACAATCATTCGCTTAATGTTCTGATAATAGCAATAGTAATGATCAATTTTTATGATTCTACATTTGTATTTTGTTCAATTAACACGGTATTTTCTAAGTATATATTTTATTATGTTTAAACCAATTTTTATGAAATACAAAAAAATGGAAATTCATTAAAGAAGTTTCATTAGCAATAAATACAAAACTAACTTGTATTTCCCTACTGAATACACTCACTATAATTTGTATCTTGTCACTAGAATAACGAGTAAACTAACTTTGATTTTAGTGTGTGTGAGCTCCCGCAAATACATAAAAAAAAAAAAANCAGTGCATATATAAGTATAGTATAGTATAAAAGTTTATAAATAAGTATAGTTTTCGATTAGAAATCTTATGACTTTTGTAGCGAATTCCTTGACTACTCGACATTTTTTTTACTTGGTATTAATGTTTATGGAAAGATTAATTCAAGCTTTGTTAACCCTATGCATACACCAATGACTTTAACTATTAGACAGACTTTTGTGGAATAACTTTCACTATTTATTTAAATATGTACTTTGTTAGACTAAGACTTAAGGTTCTCTATAGTATATTCGCATAGATACTTATTGAACGTTGCCTTTATTTTAAATCTGTACTTCTTAGTAACGATGTTCATATTCACAACTTTATTTGCTCCAATCCAATGCAAAAAACGCGTTGTCTGCAGCAGATATTTGGCAAAAATTTTGGATGTTAATAAATGGCTTACAGCATACACCTATGCATGTAGCTGCTTGTGATTAGCAGGTTCACCAAAACGATTACAGGAGGATACGATCATTCTCTCTTTAGGCTGCCTATTACAAGTAGCCGTATGCTATAAGGATTCTGTTACATGCAAGAAATGTTGTGAGGGGTCACTGTTGATTAATGTTTCTGAGGGTATAAGGAACATGTAAAAACAAGAATTTTGAAAATCAGTGCTGTTTCGCAGGTTTTGAACACTTAACGGCTTGTTTACTCCGCTATAAGGAGAATTTCATCAATTGAGAAATAAATTCTAACTAGGTTTTATCTGGGCCATCTTATAATTTTACGTGTAGCCAAAATATGTAAAGACTTTCATCTTTTCTCGTACTGAGCACACTTATCGTGGGCCAAGATCTTTAGAAGATCAATCAGGCAGTACCTGGTATCGTGGGAACCCTAGGATATGACCTAAGGGTAAAAACACTTATTTGTCAGTGTAAGGTAGTATTAACGCACAATATTACCCTGATACTTGTACAATCAATACACTTAGAGTACAGGATACCGAGGTAGCAAATGCAAATTTTTATTTTAACTTCCTTATACGTTGTAATGAGAATTTGGCTTACTTATGGCTTATTGATGTAGTATATTCCATATGAAATGTTTTCTTCCACAGAATTTCATTTATAATAAAATTTTTTGCATTTATCATGTGCTAATTAATGGCAGAGAAATATTAGTAGATGGAAGACTCAACCAGATTAAAAGTTTTTGTCTCTTCGTATCTAAAAAAATATTTTATACTGTAATGTACCCTTAAAACATTAGTGCATTTATTAACGTAACTATTTAGGACAGTTCATAAAGTTCACTACATTTCACACATTTAATATGTATTTTGCGACATAAGGAGTAACTTTTTCTTGACGTGGGATTTTAACTCGCCCAACTCATACGCTGCTTAGATAGACAATTGCATTTGAAACTCTGATTGGAATACAATTGCGCAATACAGCATTCGCAAGCAGTACGTGAATGACCATACCTAAAAAGAAAAATTTTTATACTAGAAAAATAAACAAGTACGTGGTAAACTTACAAGGGAAAGTTACAAAATGTTAATTTCCTTAAGACTTTTGAAATTATCAATACAAAATAGTTAATAACTTGAATTCCAAAAATAATTTTTTTGTAAGGACTGTTAATATAGTAGTATTTTTACTAAACCATTTCAAATACAGGTATATTAACAATACAGGTAATAAATTTGTTTAAGATGCTAAACTTATAAACTGAAGAAAAGTTACGACAGCATTATATTGCACCCAAACATTATATTTTGTTAACGATGCTTCTTGTTAATCATCTCCACCAGTCATTACCTCCATAAATTTTGAAAATGTAAAGTAATAATTACGTTGGATAAAGATACGTCCTTATNTACCTCCATGAATTCTGAAAATGTAAAGTAATAATTACGTTGGATAAAGATACCTCCTTTTTTAGTTTTATTGTAATAAAAAATTTATAAATTTCTTAGTAATAATATATTAAAACGAATAAAAGTTTTTTTCTTAATAGTAATAGTCACCCTATATGTGGTGTTATTGTTCTTTTGTATGGCAATTAGTGTACGTCAAAACGTCAAAGTATCTGTATTACCATGAAATGTGCTCCACAAGATGATTTCTTATTTGACTTTGTAACTAATGTTAAATATAGTACTATTTACATTAGTAACTTAGTATAGATAATAAGATATAATCACACGGTTAAAATACAGTACATCGAGATACTTGCATTATGTGACAACCAACTACATGGTACTGTTGTACCAAGGTACTTAAATGTATACATGTACGCTTATATGTAACAATCTTAAGTGAATAAAAAATTTTCGTGCAAATCATTCTTTCATCAGAGTTAGGTTTCAAGTAACATTAGTTTTATTTTTAATTATTTTGTAAGAGTTAAATGATACGCCGAGACAGACACCCTACGCTAAAGTAGGCACTTGCCGTCTTTTACTCAAAGTAGTATGTAGCATTGCCAATGATATAGTTATTGCTAATCTCTATCATTTTGTTGCATTATACACGTTAAGTCATAACAGCATATTATTTAATGTTCACGCATAAGCAAAACTAAAAAAGGTTTTATGACAAATAAAAATTTGTCATTTATGTCTTCTCACTATTTAGTACTCACCACATACTTAGAAATAAAGGTTTAACATACCTTCGTATAACAAGAAATTGCATCACTGAATTATCATAATTAATAGCGTTTTTTAATCATAATATACGTCGTGCTTCCTAGAAATATCGACAGATGTTGTCAGATCTCTTTTACTTTCTTGCTTGATTATTATTTAAACTAAAATTTCGTGTTATGTAAGATCTAAAGACAGTATGCATCTTATTGTTAGAGCATTTGTATTGTATGAATTAGGATCTTTCTTTGATTAAGAGTTGATCTTATAAGATCACTGTAGAAATTGACATAAATTATTAACGTAAAACTTCTGAACAAAACACAGTCATCAAGCAGTACAGGTACGTAAGAAATTTACAACGCTTCAAATACGCTACCCACATAATTTATAACTAAAACAGTAATGTTACATTTTATCGATTATAAATATTTGTCTCTCGTCAAAACAAAAATAATATTAGAATAAATATAATTAAAATAATTTAAATACCATAAGCGTTGTAAAAAAAGGTACGGTCAACAGCTGTCATGGTACATGAGCTAGCTGGCAGGTTTGTACAAGAGAAGGAAAAGAGAGGTAATCTAGGGTCAAAAATAGTACAAAGAAAGCAAAATTATAGTTAGGGTTATACAATTAAAAGTAAGAAAATCATAACTTAAAAAAAGACACTTTTCATATGAAGGTAGCTTTTAGTAAGTAGTACAACGATTAAGCCATTAAAAGTCCTGTAAGTGTTAGGCTAAGACAAAAAGTATTTACTTAAGCGATTAAAATTATTTTAAAAGTAAACGAACGCTGCTTATATTATTAACGCTCACAGGATTTCAAATATTTTAACTTGTACTTTCATTAATTATGGTTTTTCTAACAAATATTCCTTTAAAAACAAACACATCGTTCTTGAAAAGTAGAAAAACAAGATTATGAATAAGATTCCAATAATTATATTACATCGCCTATCAAGTAACGTAAGCATACACTTTTCCGATATCTGACTTTAGAAATTGTTTCTGACAAAGAGTGCGTCTGCGTTATGGAATAGACTCGGCAAAATACGTGATATGTTAAGAAAAGAATGAACGAGCATGAAAGAGACATACTTGAGAACTGTAAGACATTTGTCTTAGCAAGACATGGTCATTGCAATGCATATATAAGTATAGTATAGTATAAAAGTTTATAAATAAGTATAGTTTTCGATTAGAAATCTTATGACTTTTGTAGCGAATTCCTTGACTACTCGACATTTTTTTTACTTGGTATTAATGTTTATGGAAAGATTAATTCAAGCTTTGTTAACCCTATGCATACACCAATGACTTTAACTATTAGACAGACTTTTGTGGAATAACTTTCACTATTTATTTAAATATGTACTTTGTTAGACTAAGACTTAAGGTTCTCTATAGTATATTCGCATAGATACTTATTGAACGTTGCCTTTATTTTAAATCTGTACTTCTTAGTAACGATGTTCATATTCACAACTTTATTTGCTAATAAAATTTTTTGCATTTATCATGTGCTAATTAATGGCAGAGAAATATTAGTAGATGGAAGACTCAACCAGATTAAAAGTTTTTGTCTCTTCGTATCTAAAAAAATATTTTATACTGTAATGTACCCTTAAAACATTAGTGCATTTATTAACGTAACTATTTAGGACAGTTCATAAAGTTCACTACATTTCACACATTTAATATGTATTTTGCGACATAAGGAGTAACTTTTTCTTGACGTGGGATTTTAACTCGCCCAACTCATACGCTGCTTAGATAGACAATTGCATTTGAAACTCTGATTGGAATACAATTGCGCAATACAGCATTCGCAAGCAGTACGTGAATGACCATACCTAAAAAGAAAAATTTTTATACTAGAAAAATAAACAAGTACGTGGTAAACTTACAAGGGAAAGTTACAAAATGTTAATTTCCTTAAGACTTTTGAAATTATCAATACAAAATAGTTAATAACTTGAATTCCAAAAATAATTTTTTTGTAAGGACTGTTAATATAGTAGTATTTTTACTAAACCATTTCAAATACAGGTATATTAACAATACAGGTAATAAATTTGTTCAAGGTGCTATACTTATAAACTGAAGGAAAGTTACGACAGCATTATATTGCACCCAAACATAATATTTCGTTAATGATGCTTCTTGTTAATCATCTCCACCAGTCATTACCTCCATGAATTCTGAAAATGTAAAGTAATAATTACGTTGGATAAAGATACCTCCTTTTTTAGTTTTATTGTAATAAAAAATTTATAAATTTCTTAGTAATAATATATTAAAACGAATAAAAGTTTTTTTCTTAATAGTAATAGTCACCCTATATGTGGTGTTATTGTTCTTTTGTATGGCAATTAGTGTACGTCAAAACGTCAAAGTATCTGTATTACCATGAAATGTGCTCCACAAGATGATTTCTTATTTGACTTTGTAACTAATGTTAAATATAGTACTATTTACATTAGTAACTTAGTATAGATAATAAGATATAATCACACGGTTAAAATACAGTACATCGAGATACTTGCATTATGTGACAACCAACTACATGGTACTGTTGTACCAAGGTACTTAAATGTATACATGTACGCTTATATGTAACAATCTTAAGTGAATAAAAAATTTTCGTGCAAATCATTCTTTCATCAGAGTTAGGTTTCAAGTAACATTAGTTTTATTTTTAATTATTTTGTAAGAGTTAAATGATACGCCGAGACAGACACCCTACGCTAAAGTAGGCACTTGCCGTCTTTTACTCAAAGTAGTATGTAGCATTGCCAATGATATAGTTATTGCTAATCTCTATCATTTTGTTGCATTATACACGTTAAGTCATAACAGCATATTATTTAATGTTCACGCATAAGCAAAACTAAAAAAGGTTTTATGACAAATAAAAATTTGTCATTTATGTCTTCTCACTATTTAGTACTCACCACATACTTAGAAATAAAGGTTTAACATACCTTCGTATAACAAGAAATTGCATCACTGAATTATCATAATTAATAGCGTTTTTTAATCATAATATACGTCGTGCTTCCTAGAAATATCGACAGATGTTGTCAGATCTCTTTTACTTTCTTGCTTGATTATTATTTAAACTAAAATTTCGTGTTATGTAAGATCTAAAGACAGTATGCATCTTATTGTTAGAGCATTTGTATTGTATGAATTAGGATCTTTCTTTGATTAAGAGTTGATCTTATAAGATCACTGTAGAAATTGACATAAATTATTAACGTAAAACTTCTGAACAAAACACAGTCATCAAGCAGTACAGGTACGTAAGAAATTTACAACGCTTCAAATACGCTACCCACATAATTTATAACTAAAACAGTAATGTTACATTTTATCGATTATAAATATTTGTCTCTCGTCAAAACAAAAATAATATTAGAATAAATATAATTAAAATAATTTAAATACCATAAGCGTTGTAAAAAAAGGTACGGTCAACAGCTGTCATGGTACATGAGCTAGCTGGCAGGTTTGTACAAGAGAAGGAAAAGAGAGGTAATCTAGGGTCAAAAATAGTACAAAGAAAGCAAAATTATAGTTAGGGTTATACAATTAAAAGTAAGAAAATCATAACTTAAAAAAAGACACTTTTCATATGAAGGTAGCTTTTAGTAAGTAGTACAACGATTAAGCCATTAAAAGTCCTGTAAGTGTTAGGCTAAGACAAAAAGTATTTACTTAAGCGATTAAAATTATTTTAAAAGTAAACGAACGCTGCTTATATTATTAACGCTCACAGGATTTCAAATATTTTAACTTGTACTTTCATTAATTATGGTTTTTCTAACAAATATTCCTTTAAAAACAAACACATCGTTCTTGAAAAGTAGAAAAACAAGATTATGAATAAGATTCCAATAATTATATTACATCGCCTATCAAGTAACGTAAGCATACACTTTTCCGATATCTGACTTTAGAAATTGTTTCTGACAAAGAGTGCGTCTGCGTTATGGAATAGACTCGGCAAAATACGTGATATGTTAAGAAAAGAATGAACGAGCATGAAAGAGACATACTTGAGAACTGTAAGACATTTGTCTTAGCAAGACATGGTCATTGCAATGCATATATAAGTATAGTATAGTATAAAAGTTTATAAATAAGTATAGTTTTCGATTAGAAATCTTATGACTTTTGTAGCGAATTCCTTGACTACTCGACATTTTTTTTACTTGGTATTAATGTTTATGGAAAGATTAATTCAAGCTTTGTTAACCCTATGCATACACCAATGACTTTAACTATTAGACAGACTTTTGTGGAATAACTTTCACTATTTATTTAAATATGTACTTTGTTAGACTAAGACTTAAGGTTCTCTATAGTATATTCGCATAGATACTTATTGAACGTTGCCTTTATTTTAAATCTGTACTTCTTAGTAACGATGTTCATATTCACAACTTTATTTGCTCCAATCCAATGCAAAAAACGCGTTGTCTGCAGCAGATATTTGGCAAAAATTTTGGATGTTAATAAATGGCTTACAGCATACACCTATGCATGTAGCTGCTTGTGATTAGCAGGTTCACCAAAACGATTACAGGAGGATACGATCATTCTCTCTTTAGGCTGCCTATTACAAGTAGCCGTATGCTATAAGGATTCTGTTACATGCAAGAAATGTTGTGAAATATCTGCTGCATAGAGCGCAGCCTTTGCATCGACTTGAACGAATAACCTTACAAGTATTTTTGCTCCCCTTTGACCTAAGGTTCCTTTTCCCTGCTGCCCCCCCCCCCCAAGTCTTGGAGAACTTCCCTTGAACGAGCACAAGCACCCAAGGGCGAGGCCATGAAAGTCCTGTTCGAACCAAGGGCCTCCCAGGCGAAACGTTCCCTCTGGTGGTGTTCCCAAAGGTGGGTGTTGGTGGGTGGAACAATTACCACGCTGCGTGGACGTACAGCTGGCTTGATCTGTCATCTCTTGGTATCATGCCAGGTTCGCTACCTTTCAGAACGCTTCCTTTTCCGTGGCGACTTCATGGTGGACGCGGCGTGGAGCTCTCTGGAAACTTTCCCTTGTGTGCCAAAGTTGAGCAACCTTAAAAGGGTTTTGGCTTCAAGATGCTGAGTAGCTGCTAGCGACTTGAAAAGGGTTTTGGTATCAAGATCCTGAGCAGCTGCGAATTCCGCCAGTGTGAGGCGCAAGGCTCCACTAGGAAGAATAGAGAGGCCGAGGTGAGTGAGAAGAAGTCGTATCCGATAAAGTAACCGTGGTCGTTTATTTTCAAGGGTCTCTAGTCGTATTGCTCCCAAGTATTGCTGGTTTAGGAGTGATGGTCCTATCGTTAGCTGATAGTTCTAGCTGGCCAATGGTGACCGTGCGCCGCACTGGTTTGGGACCGACTGCCACTGTGTGCAGAAGCGCCCTCTTACATTGACTTGGCTCCAGCTTTGGCGGAGGGAGAAGTGCATCTGCACAACGGAGAGGGTAAACAAGCGCAAGTGCATCGGTCTCTTTCAAGGCTTTTTAACATTGTTAGGATAAAACATCAAAGCTATGGTTGAGAAACAGCTTAAAATTAAGAATAACATCTATTGAAGTGGTTCAGGAGTGATTGCTTGAAAGACAGAAGTTTGGTTATTCGATCTCAATCTTGTAAAATGTTTTTTGGTTTTCTTAGAATTATTTTGAAATTTTTAATTTTTTAAAATTTAGTTGGAAAACTATTAGTCATTACTGACTGGACGATTAAAAAACTGGTGGACTGAGAGTGTTTGGAAAATTACCTTTATCTTTATATGAGCCTGTAAATTGAATGATAATATGTATTAAAAATTTTGTTTGTTATATTAGTGATAAGGTTTAACGAGAGCTTCTGATTTCTAATTCATCCATACTGGGGAGTCATTTTCCAATCAAATTATATTAAAGTACTAAGTTGAAAGTATGGTTAAGAAATAGCTTAAACTCAAGAATCACATATTTTTAGTTAGTATAGCAACTGCTCAGAAAATAGACGGTTGTGCATCTGATCTACTCCTGGGAAAGAATTTTGAGCACTCTTGTTAAAAGTTTAAAATTTCTTTCAAAATGACATTTTCTAATTTTTGAAATTCAACTGCAATATTATTTTAATCATATAAGGACGTGGATAGACTATCAGTACTTGAAATAGTATGCTTATTTATATATAAGCCTATAAGTTTTTTGATACATATGCATCATAAATATTACTTGTTATACAAGTGATAAAGTCCCATTAAAACCTTCAAGAATACATTATAATTTCTGTCAGACTTTTACTGACACAACTTAATATAGTTTAACTGTTTTTATACTTATTAAACTTAACCTTCATTCTAAAAGTACATAATTTTCAACTATATAACTTTACCGGTAATTCTGGTTTTCTTTTACAATTCCACTCTGTGGCTTCATTTCTCTTTCTTATTCCTTTTTTTTCTCTCTAACAAACCAACCAGACAGCCCATGTACCACGATAGCTATTAAAAGCAACTTGTTTTTAAACACATTTGGCGTTTACACTACATTATACATATTTATACTGCTTCAGTACATGTAGCACTTAGCTTGCTTATAAGCTTATAGCTCTAGCCGTAAAAGATGTGGCAAACTTCTTAAGTAATGTCATACGGCAACATGTGCATGTAGCGCTTGGGTCACTGATCAGCTGTAGTTTCAGCTTTATTTCACCAGTGTCTTAAGTGGTGTCACGCGCTTGCATAGATATGGTGCACGGCATGTTCATAAGGCAATACATCCGTCATTATGTGGCTTGATTCTTCTTGCTTTTAGAAGCTGTACTTTTTCATGCATACACGTATAGAGCGTGGCTTTTTCAGAGCTTCTAGATCCACCACTTTCTGTAAGCACTTCTTGTTCACTTAGCTGTCCTCTTTTTATTATATACATACACATCCACTCGACACCTGTTTGTGCTGCAGGCCCACCACACCTATCGTGAGCTGCTCACGCCTGCTCTCAGCTACTCGCCGCCTGCTAGTGCTACTGCCCCTCTACCCTTATAACAGGTTACTCACGCGTGCCTTCAGCTAGTCGTCACCTCCCATTGCTATAGGCCTTCTACACCTGTCACAGGCTATGAACGTCTGTACCTAACTTATAGCCTGCTAGTGCTTCACGCCGTCAACACCTGTTGCAGGCTTTTTACGCTTGTCTTTCGATGTTC